TCAGTCCCGGTTTGGAACACCAGTAACACACGTCTTCTTTACGTGTGGTCCGCGGTTCTAAACCCGAATGGACCAATAAATTCACACTTCCGATGGGATGCAGGGATAGCAAACCTCCTGTCTGGCGTTTCTCGAGTGTGCGGTTGATTGGAAGAACTGAGGGGAGCAAACGGCCAGTCAACAACTCATTAAATCGTGATCTGTATTGTCGTGCAGGCAGGCAGAAGAGTTATATATCTGTCCAAAGCAGTTGTGTGACTATATCTAGTGTTAAACACAAGTCTTGGATTACTTTTTCAAAAGGGATACAACCTGTCTCGAGGGGGTTATTTGATTAGCAGCGGAGCGGGGTGGGGGAGGCGAATGGCAAAGAAGAAGACCTGAGAACCTNGAGAAAAACCTTCAAGGGGATTTGACAGCAACGTTCCAGTTGATGAACAAACTCTCAGGTTGAATTGGGAGGCAAAACTTCCAAATGATTTATAGCAACACTAGATGTTTCTTGGAAGCCGACCAACAGGAGCACAGAACAAGCAATGCGACTCAGCCTCTCTAGCATAGGACTACCTGCAGAACTAGCTGAACTCAAGAGTTTGCGGAGTTTTGGAAAGAACTTGCTCAACGATTGGTAAAACACTTCCTAAATTAGACATTCGAGCGTTGGTCGGGTGCAGATGCTGAATGCTTTAATCCACCTGAGGTTCGCGTTGCTAAATTATCCTTCCTAGCAAAATTCCTCCCAAAGTAATGTTCTCATCTGCACTATGTCTTGCATTGGCGGGAACCAGTAAACTTAGTGAAATAGAAACCCTAGCCCAACTTAGAGAATGAACATTCGCAATAGTGGGGACTGACACTTAGACGTAGGGTTGAGGGAATTCCGGACTGCCGATTGTTCATGTCCAGATTCTGTCCTATTGAAACTGAACTGACTAATTGAAATTACTCTTACGACAGATACCTATATGTTGTGTTGTGAAGTATATTGCTCAAACCATGGTAGATAGTGTATAAGCTTTTACAGGCACCGTCATGTTTTTATGCTCTCAACTCTCGACTGTTGACCTATCCCTATGGTTGTTCTATCACACAAGCGAACGAAATCTACCACTCTGTCAAAACGGTTTAGTCTGATTGTTCTGAAACTAATGTTTCTGATGATCACTGAACATGCCATCCTGAGCTGAGATCAAGCTTGGCCGATAATAATGCATTGTGAGGCGATTATCAATTATATCAGTCCAAGTAACATGCCTGCTGTAGTATCATACCTAGATCATGTTACCTGCAAATCCTTCATCAACACCAATAAATCTGGCAAATATACCACCCTGAACTAATCTGCTTATAACTACTGTCGTCATTCACTAATATCCCAAAAATCGCGCTTCTTGGTTTTCTTGTAACGCTTGGCAACCGCGCCAGTAATATTTTATCGTAAGTGCTTGTAGCTCACTGGACCTTTTGGGCTTATAGCGCTTTAGTTGCTTTGCCTTGACTGTCCGCCTTTCTTTCCTTGACATCCCGTGTCCCGGTCGTCCCGATTACCGAACGCCGTTCCCGCCGTCGTTCATTGTCCTGCAACGCCTCGGATCATCTCCACTTGCGANACTTGCGAAAATCCGAGCCGAGAAACAATACATCACGCAACTGTGTTCACTTAGCTGTGCTGCGGGAGCCCCAAGTAAATTCACATTATAAGCTCACCAAATCGGATGGTGTGGAAAACCGAAAAATGGTTCCAGTCGTGCTCAAAGCCTTAGATCAGTTGGTAACTCTTCCATATAGTCCAATACGTATACATCTCAAGGTAGTTTGTTCTTGTCCTTTCATGGCAGAATATCAGCACTCATTCCCAATCAAGCTTCCCATGGATTATGATTATGTTTGTGCTGTACCTATATTTCGGGCATCCCCGACAAATGAGGACGTCCGTGGTCTATTTTGTAATCTGCAAATTATTATGAACAGCGCGGCATTTTTATTATCATCTCTGTAAGAGACTTCTGAGTGTCTATTTCAGTATTATCAATCAGTTTTACCGAATAATTTCCCCGTATTTATATCTTTTTCTTACTCGGAACAGAATTAGTGAAAATCAGTAGCATTGTTCACTGGTTGTCTCACACTTTCGACAGGTGGCCCAAAATGCGGTGACATTCATTTCCGATTGGGAAAACCAGACATTTTAAGGCTTATTTTATTGCATTCAAATGCGATGGAAATATTTGTGATAACCAACAAAACGTACCGGACAGTTGTTTCGTCCTGTTGAGGACTCGTCAGCAGTGCGTATGTTTTGTATCTCACCTCGAAGAATCGCGGTTTGAGTCCTGAGAGGGACACAAAACGTACGCACTGCTGACGAGTCCCCAACAGGACGAAACAACTGTCCAATGTTCTTTATTGGTTAGCACAAACATTTCCATCACATATGAATGCATTACCTCGTGGGGAATTAACGATCTCCCAAGGAGTGAAACCCACACCCAAGACCATCAAGAGTGCCTGATGCCTTTGAACAAAATTGAATGGGCTAATCCAAGCATGATACTTTAAATAATTTTATTGCATTTTATCAATCTGAACATAATGGCTTTCTTTTATTTTTCTAGTACTAAGAAAGAGGCGTATAGATACGTGACCTTGAGTTCCCGATCGATTCAGTTGTGTTGACTTCATACCGCTTATTGAGCTGGTGAATAAATCAACTGACACCCATTTGAATACCCTTCAAAGAATTCACTTTTAGCTTTTTTCCTCACTATGTTTTTTAAATCCACTCAATATACTACTCTAGCTGCAGAAATAGATATAATCACTGCATTCATTTTACACAAAATATAAGATACTGATGAACGGATATCTAAGCTGCAACATATTTTAGGTGGAACAAACTCTTCGTCTATCTTCTTCGTGATATTCCTCAATAGATTTCGCAGTTTTTGAATCTTTTAGCTTGCATAAAAAGGGCATTGTGATACAACATTCGAGTCTTTACAGTCACATTCATTTGGGCCGTTATACTGTAGTCAGGTTCTACTCACAAATATGAGCAGAATGGTTGGTACACGCATGAATAGGTGATTGGTGGTTGCTCACGACATTCCGATTGTGCAAAATGTTTGGGAGCGGCTTAGAGAATTGACTATTGTAACACTGGAAAATGAGATAAGAATGTTGGACTGTTTGATCAAGGGCCTTTCATGAAACCATGAACCAGCTGTTACAGATTGCATGTTTTGTTCTGCAAATTATCCAATTCAACCCGTATGCTTGTCGTTCACTGCCGCGTGGCAATCGTATTTTGGACCATTAACTGATTGGTTGCTCTTTCCTGAATGACATACGGTTAAGTAGAAGACACTCCTGAAAAATCATTTGATCCTGTTTTCGTATTTAGGAATACCATCAGGTGTAGTTCAGTTTATTTAGAGTCACGTTACGGATTTATTGTCTTGGATATGAATGAATACAAGTGCAACATCTAATGTTACAAAAAATCAACGAACTGGTGTTTACATGCGGGGTAAGTTACCGCTTAAAACAGAGACCAAACATGACCATACATATTTAGTTATTTTACTCCCAATTCCGTGGTGTTGTTGTGAGATATTACTCACATTTGTGAGTAATACAAAAAGGAGGCCATTGGCGATTTCTTTCAACAGTTAAAAATGAACAATACCTCTTGAGGCAAATTGCTGTGTACAAAATGATAACTACGGACCGTTACATTCCTGTAGGACTGCCGGGAATTGTGACGACATGTTCAAAATGAGATATCTTGTTATGCGTACGCGCAGTTATCCATATCCTAAGTCTGATTCGTAATAAACAATGCTCCTCGAGCCAGCATCGGTCTTCTAGAATTATAACAGCAGTATAACAAACATGAAATTTCTCTGGTGTAAACTCTGGAAAGAGAAATAATGGTGTTTTAATGACGCAACATAGTTGGCAATGGATATGTGCCATGTAAGCGTATTCCGCTCCACAGCCCCGTTATTGACCACACTCTATACTCTCAGTCAAGAAACAATCACATAAACTGCCTTTTTCAATAACAGTTACTACTGAGCATTTCAGAAATCATATATTAGACACACAATCAACCAATAGGAGGAACCCGGGAGGATGTCGCATTGAAATGGTGCCTATCTGTTCATGGACAGAGTGCATTATGGAAAATGTTTAACGGTCAAGTGTTCGGCAGGTTCACTTTATCTATGAGCACATCGGGGCGATTGTGGGGCAAAGGTTTCTTAAGTGCGGTGTCTGCGGTGTCCAGGACACTTAGGGGACAGTCTACCTGGGTAAAACCACTCTGTGGTAGAACCGCTGATGACAGGAAATGTTTTTCTGGATCGGCAATCACCGCTATTTCTTTCGCGTCTATACACAATTGTCAGTTGAAAAAATCTGGCCGTGAAGGGGGAGGTTGTTTGTTTCCCGCTTTTACTGCTGGTTCTTATGTACGATAATCTATTTATCCATCAGTTTCCTCGTGTTCAATCTGCCCAGCATGTGTGATGTTCGATGGCTCCGTGGAGATACGTATAAACCATAGGACACATGTGCAAATAATTTGCACACATATTCGATGGAGACTGACTATTCGATTGTAAGACCCCCAACGGTGACTGCTTGTGCACATGTTTGCCGATGTTCAGACAAGTGTACCTGAGTTATTCTACCTGTGGTGTTTCGCTCGATTCAGTTACAAGTTACAAAATGTTTCGCTGGAACGAATGAAATTATTTTTTAGGTTCAAAATCGAAGGAAAAAGTATTACATATCAAATAACTCCTGGTTATTATGAAATACATTTTTATCGTTCGTAACTATAGTTACCCTGGTTATAAGATAAAACTAGTTAGAAAACAAAGCCATTTTGATACTGCTTTCCCAAACCGGAATCGACTAATTGAAAACACATTGTTACTCCTGTTTATTTCTGTATCTCTATGTAAAACCCTCACTCAGACACCCCAACCTACCAACAGGATTTTCCTTTTTAGCGGCACAGAACTGTTCACAGTCGGTCCGGGCCAAGAAATTGTTTGATGATCCTCCACAATGCGAGTAGGCGAATTCTTTGCACACTCCACTTGCCACATCCAAATACCATCGGGATTCCATTTGGCCAACATTATCACAGCCGCTTTCGATCATTGTGGCTTCTTTGAGCGATATTTGTTCAAATAGGGATTGAGTGGTCACCTTTTCGGAGGTCGTGTGTTCGGTGGTGGGGTCTTCGGGAATACGAATCGGCCAACTGCGATTCAACTCCACTGTCGGAGCGGTCTGACACAAATCGGAGGCGACTGAAAATGCGGGAAGGAAACCGGATTGGCGATACTGTTTGTCGATGCTAGGGCAGAATTGGAACATTCTAATGGCTATCTAGTTATGGTATTTCAATTGGTGCCCGAGTACAAACAGTTAAACGGAATAAAAAGCGTTCTCTCATCTCAGAAACTCGCAGCTAGTCGTCTGTTCATATATGGCCTTCCAGTGAACTCAAGGAATCTCACGAAACCCACAACTTCAAGCTGTAATATATATATATATATATATATATATATATATATATATTGGCTTCTTCATCACACTGGAAAGCGAAAAACACCAGCCAGGTCTGTCAGCTTTGTAATCGAAGTCCAGACAGAAAATCTATGTCCCCATGAACGAGATTATAGAATAGAGCATTACACAGTCTGCAGCCTTTGGTGTTTTGCTCCATCCATACTTGAAAGTCAGTCACAAGGTTCATTTTCAAAGTCAAAAGGGTTTGGAGGTTACGTGCTGTAAATATAAATGCGTTTTCTAGAATGATATGCATCCGTGATTCTGAACATGTTATGACGGATCGATGGGTACCAGTTGATACTGATTCAAGGTGTCCGGCACCTAGTTGTTAATCCATCTCGCATTCAGTGCTAGATCCCACGGTCAAATGAGTCTTGTTCTTCTACGACGTGGATTGTTTGCAATATATATATATGATGAAGTGGCAAATGGAGATAATGATACCAAATACACAGCTGTGTGATCAGGCACATAGTATCAGCAATGCACGTGTGCAATCCATCTCATTCGACCGTGCAGTCACGAGTGTCAATCAAAATAAGCGCTCGTAGGAAAACCTGGCCCCTCACTGACCTCCCGTGTTCAATGGAAAGAACTAGTACATTAGAGAACAGAATCATGTGAGACATTTGTCTGTGAACACATTATGTGGGGTTTATTTATCCCGGACATAGTCAACCAAAGCATACCTCAAAACACGTAGGTTATTATGCATAACATGTTAAATCGAAGCGAGAATTTTTCTAACTTCTGGACTCATTTTTCCATAAAATGTTTTGCTTTATTGAGGCTCAGTTTTAATGTACATCTGGGAAAAACTTAAAGTTTCCTATCAAACATCTCTTTTTTGTGTTTGTAGTTATCTGAAATTCATCAAAAATTTTATGTTCCATGGAGAACTTGTCAAATGATTTTACAATGTCTTCGAACCCCGGTAATATTTGAGAGCTTGAAACTGCATACGAAACTAATCATGCAATAGAATTAATCGTTGGTTGCACACGATGTCCTTCCTTACTTATCGTCTAGAACCATATCCCACTTTGTTTGATCACTCAATTACATAACCAATCCTAGATGCAACTGAAAACAAATAGTTGAATGATGGAGTCGTTCTCCGGAATTCCAAACCTAGAGAAAATGCGACAGCAACCACTTGCCCCATCTAGCATCATCCCAAACAACGACATCTCCATTCTGTATATCACCAAAAATACAGAATTTCTCGTTTCATTCAGCATATACACGCACACACACAAATCATTCACAATGACCACTTCGAGCTATTTAGGTGCAACAAGAATGGACGGTGTGTCTAGCAAACTCATGGTAGACAACGCCTTTTTTATCCACCTCCACTCATGTCTCGCAATTGAGAATGTATATAATTTATTGTATAGGGTGTAATTTTATATTTTATGCTACTATAAGTGGCCATTTTGATCGCAGTATTCATGAGTACAGATCCAGTGAAGTGCACGAGTCTGGTGTGGAGGTGGGCATGCAGAGTTTACGGTTCACAACCAGAACAAGTGGTCGACCTTCATAGATCACCGTGGTTAAGGGGCATGTATTCTTCAGGTAACCAAATAGGTAGCACGGAGCGCGACGTTTGCCGAGGCAGAAAGCGATTGGAAAAAGGTCAAGGACGGTCAAACTGAGACCAGGTACGAGAATGTGAAAACCCTAACCAGGTCATTGTGTCACACAGGTACCGTTAGGCTTCGAGCATGAGGACCTCGAGATCATGGCAACCGGTGGTTAGATGGATATGACGGGGTGCCGCAAACAGCGGTGTTTGTGCATCTACTCATTATTCTTGCCACCCTTCGTTGATAGGGAATCTTTATCTTCCCTTTGACTCTGCTCTCAACATTCCAATTTTCACTCAGCTCTTTCATTCGAATGGACAGCCAAAAGACGGTAACAACAAACGGGCGCATGAAAATGTATGGTTAATGGTTGTGAAAACTAAAACTGACATCGTTCACTACAATATTCTTTGTTCCATTTCTCAAGTTATTTATGTGAGACTGGTAGTGAGATACGCAAAATGCATTGCCTGCGTTGAGCTCGCAAAGATGGGTTGTGCTATAGCGTGCATAAGGAAAATGAAAAATACGGTCTGATCAGCTGCCCGTTCTTCAAGTAACGTTCCGGGTTCGATCCCCAGTTGGGTCGATAGATTCTCACTGCTGATGTAACCCAACCAGGTCGAAACAGCTTCCTAGCTTCGCACTTTACATTTCATTTTTCACATACACGACGAAATTCACCATATGGATAAACCAAATCCCCCCTTTCTCTCATGAAAATATTGTTTCAATCCACGCATTACTATTTTATAGATTGATTTATTTGTAAAATATGATTAAATGTACCCGAATAGAATGAAGTAACTTGGAATTTTTCATCATGTGCTGTAGGTCACATGCGTTATTTATCCACTGATTGGATTCAAAGCAATATGAACCACTACAAGGGTTCGTTTTTTGGTGCCAGCATTTCCTTTTGAAAAACTGAGAAAAATATCCTCAATCTCTTCAGCTTTCCGAGTGTCACCGAATACAATGGGCCTCGAATCGAATTTTTGTGATTGCTTCAAAGTGTTTAATTGCTTGAAAATGACATACTCGCCTGACGGACGATAAAATGATGTTTCGCGCACAACAAGAGGATTATTGATCGAATGTAACTTGCATATTAAAAAACACTATAAAACTATTTGCATTTGTTTTGTATTGACCGCAACATTTGAATAACCAGTTTCAAATCTTCACGTTAGCAAAGTAACAAAATATGTCGTTCTAAACGACAGTTGCGTTTTACACATCTTCTGCTGGTCTATTTCCGATGTGATGTTTGCTAATTCGCTTCAGTTGACTTATGTTAAACCAAACAGCGCACTCGGCTATCATTTCTAGTCATTTGAGCATACCATTTAGGACAGAAGACCATAGAAAAGGGGTATTCGAGAGTAAGATAAAGCATATTCGCTTTCCATCAAATTGAGATTTTGACCGAGGATATTGCCAATTCAAGTGCTTCCGATGATCACTAAACATAATCAACGAAATCAGTCAATAGGGGAACGGAATCACCAATGACGCACAGGTGTTGTCAACGTCAATTTAATTTTTTTTCTCCCAGATTGCGAATGAAATTTCAACCATCCCGGAAATCATTATGGGATTGGTTGATTAGAACGAAGCAGTCATTTAGTGTCTCATCTGCGAAGGGCTTGAAATGAGGTACTGCAGTTCTGCACTTGTGAACTACAGCCACACTGCCATGTTGCGTCGATATTCTTGAGGCAAATGAGCGTTTAAAACTTGCATGAAGTCATTTACAACAACTTTTATTCTAAAGATTATGTTCGTTAGGGGATATATATGCTCCAGAAACATCCTTTAATTAAAGCGGGAACTCTGTCTTCCTGGTGGTTTGGTTTGAATATTAACTCCAACATTTGTGAGGTAGATTAATCGCAATCAACTTGCATAGATGCATTATGCCATAGAGTGCATACGCAAATGAAACCACTTTGACCAACTATCCCGTAGTCAAGTGAGCAGTTAACTAAAATTTTGTCTGCGAGGTCTGTTTTTCGATTGTCCAACGGATCGATGAGCTCCAATAAAGAATCGCAAATAGCAGAGTTACAATAACCGGACATTGTTTCTATATACTTTAATCTCTAATTTATTGTGTTCTGTTGGACATTAGAATTAGAATCCGTCCCTTTATGACTATTATTGAGTGCCTAAGCAACATCAATAGTAATGAAATCTAAAATCATTGTTTTTTTATCATTTGACGCAAAAATGATTTTATCCATTCGTATTAACTCAGCGAACACTTAACTGATCATGCAGTCAATTCCGTGGGGATTTTCTCCCCCTCTGTCTCTCACGTGATAGCACGATTACCACGATACGATCTGTGAGGAAATTTCCGAAACACACAAATAGATGGTATTTTATGTCCCTACTGATCCTGGTCTCAGATCATACGGTACTCGTTTCTCGATTGCACTTGTTAGCTTTCCGTCTGTGGGTGTGCTGGAGAAGTGCACCATGGATCAACGTGACCAATCAACTGAAATTGATTGGCACACGTGAATCAGACTTGCTTGCACATGGTTGGGGAAAACACTTAAACAACACACAGTAACAATTGATACGTTCATCAATCGTGTTACCTTATAGAGAGTACTAATACGTAAAAAATAAATTTTTCCGACAAAACAGCTCCAGATTTACGCGTATGTCATGACACTTGCTATGAGTTTTTGGAATGAACGATATGGACAACTACTGCTGTCCTCATCATTTCACGGCTATCGATCGATACGTGCGAGTGATAAACGGGGGGAACGAAAGCTTTGAAAATAGCGATGAAGTTGATCGAAATCTTTAAAAACATAGAGAAATATAAGGATAAGTTTTGAACCTCGATCCACGAAATTGTTCGAGTGATTAAGCTGACGCCTAATAGGCTGGGTGACGAACCTGTTCCATGAGGTTAGTCCAGATATGATCCAGTTTTATGGAAAAAAGCTACAAACAATTGGAGTCAGTACACATCTCACTCAAACTCGCATTGATTTTCCAGATTTAGCGGGAAATCCGATGCACATAAACATTTTTGTTTTAATACGGTGACATCATACCTCGCTCGAGTCAGTCCATCAACTTGCTTTTTGTGTATTGTTCCTTTAATGGAATCTCTTAGTTAATCGATAGTGTTGGAATACACCTTTATCGGTGCGAATAATATCACTACCCCGAAAGGGTACACACCTCCCTATTCCGAAGCCTGAAACGTGAGCTGAATGTAACTGAGCATCCGGAGTTGAAATTCCTCTAAATGAAAACTTAAATTATATTTTAAACTAAGATCAATAATACTAACGCTACAAGTAGGCAAACATTGGCTAATAAACTCTTCCATATGGGTCGTGTTAAGCTTCCTCAAATCAATCCAATAATATTGGTCCAGTCAGTTACATTTGGAATATCTAAATCAATATCACATTACCGTTCAGTTTGGCCTTTTTCCTCACTGATCGTTCCAGTTGGTGTGCGAAAGTGTGATTTTATCGTTGGTTTCAAGAGAAACAGAAACTATGTTTATTTGAATGAGTTCTATGTGGGTTCTAGTTAATCAGTTTCTTACTGCTCGCGTGAGCTGCGTTCCGTTTAGGGTAACATTCAAATTTCAGTTCTTCAAAAATAGATATTAGAAGAAGGTTGCAGAAGCTAAATGCAATTCATGGATCATACACATTTCGCGTTGTGAAATTAACGAGGCAAACATTTTCATCCGTTTAACGATATGGTCATCGAAGTGACTTCCGAATTCAGTCCGTTGAGGAGATTAATCGGCCAGATGCGGGATTGGAGTGGATGATGGGTGGGTGTTTTGAAAGGGGTGCATAAATCATGAAGAATCATGCCAACATATGTTCAACAGGGAATGAGGTCATGTCCATTTGGTTCTGTCCGATCTGATTCAGGTCATTCACAAATTACGGGTAAACAATCGGACTGTGATGTGAAAAACCCGGGGCACGGAAGATGACGATGAAGAAAACAACAACAACAACAAAAATAAGGAAAACGCATCAGGTTCGTGTATCCTTCGCATTGGAATTTACCGCCCACAATGGTGCAGTTCTCAATCCACACAGCTCCACACACGCACGTATAGAAGCAGGTGGGCACGCTCGTTCACAAAATCATCCATTTATTCGCATAAATTCGAACATCGTGGCTCTTGTCCTCCCTGAAGCTGGATCCTTTTCCAGGCCCATTGTCATCCGATTACAGTCACAAACTTGATAAGAGTGAACCAGAATTTGTCTTCCCGGTTGTTGTTCTCCTCATCCGGATCTTGGAATCTACATGCACGAGTAGTAGTAGTAGTCTGTTCGCCGGGTTAGTCGAATGTTGATCAAGGGTATCGATTTCCGGATGCACACATTGGATTATCATTCAAACTGGTTGCAAGCATGAATTAATCGGCCAATAGGCTAACTGTGATTGAGATCCACTTACGCACTCTGAGAGAAAGTAACATGTGCACACTGAATCGGAATTTTGGACATAATGAATCAGTGCAAATCTGTGAACCGATGAATGGATGCATGGAGTGCAAACCACTTTCAGGTTTGTTTCTTGCTCACTTGAGTCAGGTAGATGAACCTCATCATGAAATCACCATAATCAGTGAGAGGCCGGGTTAAGAAGAAAGCTGGTGGTGGTGAGCACATCCACTACATTTGGTAATGCATAATTAAAGCATCATCCAGCTGTAGCTATTTTTTAAAGTTACTTCCCCGGTCCGTCTGACGCCGATGGCGATGTGTAATGTGTGTTTGGTTATGTGTGGTCCGTTGCGATATTTCGATTCCTGTTTACCACTTTTGATGAAAGTTTTGGAATGAGAATGACAACCGACCGGACTTGAAAATGATGCTTAGTTTGCTATACTTCTGCTCAGTACCCAAAAATCAGGTAATGAGAAACACTAATGCTTCTCGATCGGCTCTTCCTGTTCATTCAAACGCCGAATTATTCCGAACCGGTGAGATTCAGCATAGTCAGCAAAAAGTAATCCAAATTGGTGACTCAAACGACTCATGATGCACGGTAATCGAAATGTGTTGGATTTTTCAATCGTATTTGCTGTTTTTTCCACAGACACATACATACATACATACATACATACATACATACATACATACATACATACATACATACATACATACATA